TATATGGCCCAATCCTGGTCTTCAAGGGCCACTATCTTGCACGTTTTAGAGACTTCGCTACTCCAACACACCTAAATTGAACAAATGGGTGAATAACAGGCTTCAACCAAACATGAAGAGGTTTAATCATGGAATCAGATGGGGTGGAACAGGGGAACAAGTAAAACATGCAGGATAGTGGCCCTCGAGGGCCAGGGTTGGGCCATCACTGCTTTAGATGATAAAGATGGAAACCCCAAGTTAGATCCAATGGAAGTACCTTGCATGACAGTTCAGTGTGACTGAAGCACATGGCAAAGGACTTTATTAAATTAGCTCAGTCTAAAGCAGTGCTGTATAAATGCTGATTATTTATGTTGTAAACTCTAAAAGTGTTAGTTACACGTTAGCTCGGCTCTGCTGATTTGAGTTTTATCCTAACGGCTAACATTGTTTTGTTATGAGCTGGAGACTTATGATTAGGTTCACAAACCCGTTTGGAAACCTTTTGCCGATAACACAAGCCCGACCACTGTCTGTAACTTCACAATAAAAGTTGGAACTTGGACGTAAAATAGTTCAAAAAGTTTGCATTAAAAAAGCTTAAAATCTGAGTTATGATAAGTAAAGTAGTCCCTCGCTACTTGGTGGTTCGTTTTCGTGGATCTCCCACGGTAAACGAGGGACTACTTTAAGGCAGTTTTAAATATTAACAGTGTTTATAAAACAAGCTTAGTTGTGATCTTTTTAATAGCGCAGCACCTTTTGTTTTTGCCTCTCATGTTCCAGCTATGAGTAAAACTGCATGTGTGTGGGTTGAATGGTTCAGAGAGGCTGTGTAAACACTTCTTATAAAAAAAGAAAAGTACACAAGAAGTTTTGTTTTGTTTTTTTAAGTGAATTCTGTGTAACGTGCACTGTGGCTTTAAACAAAGTGGTTAGCTGAGGTTTTGTAGACCAGAGCTGGTGGACTGCAGAAGGCCAACAGCTCAGCTGCAGGGTTGGGCTCAGATTTGGACTTTAGAGGGTAGCAGGGTGACTGAGCTGCCAGCCTGCCCCCCCTCCTCTCCTCGGTGATAAATGGCCACAGCACAGGCTATTCATCTCCTGCTTAGAGAAGTGGACAGTGTCCCCCCTGCACGGCCTCTCCTCTGTCCCCCCACAAGTCAGCAAATGTGATAATTCTCTCATTTGTCAGAAGCAGCGGAGGGTTTTCTGTGTGTGTTTTCAGATTGAGGGAGGTGAGCTCATGAATACGTCTCCATTTTTTACTTCTAAAAGCTGTATTTTTTTGGGTTCAAAGCCCCCCCAACCCCCCCGCCAACTTTACATCAGTAAAAAAAATGAGGATTTTTAAATGTGTAAAGGAGGAAGACGTTTTATTGCAAATTCCACCAACGGTTTTATCATCTCCGGGAAACTACTGATTCACTTTTTCCATTTTATTCCGCAAACAACGTTTTGGAGCCAGCGTGCGTGTAAATGTTTACGTGTCAAGCGTGTTTATGTGCTGTTTTATACATGTACATACATCAGTAGGACCATTTTTACAAATACATGTGAAAGCCAATCAGACTCTTTTAGTAGAAGTGCAGTTTTATAAATATCCTGTTTAATGTTTCCATAGGAGTGAGAACTTGTGGTAACTATTAAACCCGGTATGCTTCCAGCAAACGGCTGTTCGTTTAGTTTGCACATAAATGTGTGTGTGTTTTATTTACTGTTGTCTGTGGTTTTCTCTCTGCAGGATCATCCAGAATCGTATCCTGATCTTCGTCCTTGGAGCTGTCATCCTCCTCACCATCATCTTGGCCATCTATTTAAATCAGAGAGGCCACTGATCTTTACTGTTTACACACACACACACACACACATACTCCTCCCCCCCTCCTGTCCTCTCTCTCGAAACAAATAGAAACACACACACGCGTGATTAATAGCGACAAAAGCGTTGTTCTGCTGTAATTAGGACAAATGGTCCCCATGAATCACTGTTCTCCAAACCTGACAGGGAGCTTTTTTTTTTTACCCAGCTTTTACCTTTCTTCTTCTGTTCTCTCCGTTTGCTTCTCTCCACCTTTCAGTTCTTTCTCTCGCTGTCAGATGTTAAAACTTTCCATGGTGTGGATTTGCAGCCCGTCCCCGCGAGGCGAACACAACCTCATCTGTTTGCGTAACTCCAAGCAGATTCTGACGCATCTTTTTGTTTTTACATTGATGGAGGTGCATTAAGGTTTGCAGGCATGCCCGAAAGACAGGACAGTCCTGGAGTAGAAGGCGCTGGCACCGACGGTGGACGTGCGTCTTGTAGGAGCTTCTGTGACGACCGTATTTTCTGGCGTATAAGTCGCATCAGTCAATAAAAGCATCATGACGAGGAAAAAAACATGTCACATAGGCAACTAAGTTGCATTTATTATACATTTATTTAATGGTCAAAACAGCTTCATTTCACCTGGGCGGCGCAACCACTAGCTCTCCAACGTTCCTCCACCTGCACCAGCTGAGTGAAGAGAGATTGCACGGGAGGACTCGCTGTTGCAATTCTTCAAAATTTAAAGCGTCAGTCAAAAATTGGGTTATGAATATGGAACAAAAAACGCATATAAGTCGCAGGACTGACAAATCTATGCAAAAAAAAAAAACAACAACTGCGACTTATAAGCTGGAAAATACGGTAAATGGTTGAGCTGCTCTTCGTGTAACCCCGGTGCAGCAGCAGACTGTGCCTTCAGACACGAGACGCTGGTCACTCTCTGCAAAGCCCAGAATAGACGCTTGGCTCTGCCTGGATGTTAAAACATTCATGAAATCTCTATCAAGTTAAAAGTATTCTTTCAGAAAAGGCTCCTTGTTTTGTAGTTTTTGCATTCAGGAGGTGAATATTTTAGGAGATTTTTGTCATCAAAAGGAGCTGACGCCAAACTTCGGTAAATAAATTCATTGAAAACAAAGTAAAAACATTACCCTTGGCATTTTTTATCATATTTAGTGTCCTAATGCGGTACTTTGCAATTCCTGAACACACGTCATGACTCATTCCTATGGACTTTTATCATGTATGTGCTCACACTTAATCCACATTGTATAGTTTGTTTTTTTCCATGCACGTGATTCTGTTACTATTTATTTAAAAATGCAGAATTAAAATGTCTGTGCTAGATCTGTATGTTTTATTCTCTTTATTATTCAGATTTAACATTTATCTAAATGTTGGCTGAGGACCAAATGAAATGTTTTTTTTTCTTCTTCTATAAATAGATCTGACCTGTTTCAGAGCTCGTATTATTTGTTCTGTATTTTTCATGTAAATTTCTGAAGATTGTGTTTATCTGTGATGAGTTTGCTGTCGTGTGATTACTAAATATATATAAGAGAGCATTTTTTTGGAGAATGTTTTAAGGTTCAGATGTAGGATTGATGGGATGTTAATGCTTTGTCAGCACACACACACACACAGAGTAGAGAGCACGTGTGTTTCTTGCAGTTGGTGCGCTGTATCCCAGTAAGGACATTTGCTATTCTGTTTCAGGGCCATAGTCGTCATTTTCACATTTTCGAAGATGCAGGGTAGTGATCCCCCCCACCTCCCTCCAACGCACACACACACACAAAGCACCCTCCCCTATAGGCCACCAGTTCACAGGCCCTCACCATCCACTGCGCCATCGTCGGCTTCAAAGCCTCAAATTAATGGCCAACAAAACTGTGTTCCCCTGACCGTCCCATGCGGGGCCGACCCACCGAGATTTATCATGAAAGTCGAGGGGGAAAAATTCTAAATGAAGAAAGGGGGGAAAGAAGGAAGTGAACAAGGAAGAACTTAGAAGGGGGGTGTCGAGGAGGGGTCTGTTTTCTCGAGCAGTTTGACAAATCTCTCCTGGTAATGACCCTCAGTGGTTGTTGCTCCAGTCTAAATGTGCCGTCTGTACAGTATGTGCTCTATTCTTCATCTCTTTTTTCCTCCTTTTCTTTCTCCCCCTCTACCTCTTCTGCCACCTTTTCTCCTCCTCCCTGTCCTCCCCTCCCTCCCTCCCTCCCTCCCTCCCCAGCCTGTCAGACGAGCGGCGCTGCAGCTAGCGAGCGAGCGGTGGAAGGCAGCGTGGCGGCGGCTTCTATTTGAAGTTGTAATGGTGTCAAAAAGTCAGGGCTGACTGACAGACGTCAGTCCCACAGGGCCTCATTAAAAACAGACCCACTTGACAAGGAAATAATTGAGCGCTGGCGACAACTCGGGGGTGGGGGGGGGGGCCTCCACGTTTTTAGATGTTTTTATTTTCTTTTCATTATTAGTGCCGAGCTATTATGTTCATTAAGGAATGGCATTAAAACAAGTTTTTAAAAGCAAGGGGGAGAGGCGGGGAGGGGCAGAGGGATGGATGGAGGTGGGAAGATAACGATTTGTTTAGAGCCCCCCCCCCCCCCCCTGTTTTATTATTTAAGCAGGAGCACTGTCAGCTATCATCTCTCCGTTTCCTTTCTCTCATTTTTTGTGTGTTCTTCCCTCACTTGTTGGGCTTGTAATTTCATTTTTCCACCTGCCCCGTCCTCCTTCTCCATCGTTTTCCTCGTCATTTGAGCGATGGGTGTCACTGGAATACAAACTAGATTATTCATCGGTGCCCACCCCACACACACACACACACACACACAACTATCATTTCCTCCTGATTTGGTTTTCGACAAGCGTCTCACCGCAGAAGGCTGAGGATGAAAACTTGTCAAAAATAGGTTATATCTTATTCCAAGGGGCAACAATAGCGGCAGCTACAGACACCTTTTAATATTTAATTTAGACGGGTGGTAACCCTCCTTAAGTGACTGAAGCTGTGTCTTCCATACAGACGCCACAGGACGAGGAGGTGGAGGGGAGGGTGACGAGGGTGGAGCCATTAATTATTTGATGTCTGAAAAGTGATTTTTTTTTTTAAGCTCTTCCTGTCTTCTGTATGCTAAAGAAAAGATTCAATCTTTGGGTGTTTGTTTGTTTTTTTGTTTTTAATACGTCCTATGACTGGCTTGCAACATTTCCACTGCAGTCTTGATTTTTGCCACCACACACCACAGTTTGGTAGTTGAAATACCCCATTTCCCTTGCACCACTCAGCAAGGCCTGAGCCGATTACCGGTTTCCAGGTATATCAATGTGTTAAAACGTCACTGTGGACATTTAACCATCATATCTTTTGGTTAAATGTCTTAAAACGAAACAATAGACGGTGCATATTTTCATTTCCTCTGTGACCAGGCCTGTTTGTGCCGACAGTCGTTAAGTACTGTGGCCGTGGAGGGAATTCCTCCTAACGAACGTTAGCACCAAGCTACAAGAAGTAGCATGTCCGCATGTGAAGTACGCAACCGGGCTCACTAAGAATAACCCAGCTACCTTCAGCTTGGCAGGCTACCAGAGTCCTTTACAAAAGAGCAGAACAGCAGAGTAATATTCTGCACTTTAGGCACAAATACTTTGGATTAAAAAGTTAATTTTTTCGTTGCAATGGTTTACTTTGCCTCTTGCTTTTTCCTTTTTTTTAATGGAAACTCCACATTTCTCACCAAAACTAACATCTATGTCCTCTCTACCTGCATTCATAAATCTCCTTTTTGCATTTCTTTTTTATCTTAAAACATATTACTTGTAAATAAATTAAAAATTAGGCTTAAATAGCATCTATGAGAAATGTTGTAAATAAAAATCTGTTAACAAATTATTTTAAAATCTGTCTTAAGTTAAGTGCAGAAAGAAGCTGAAAATGATTTTAAACCAAGTGACTCGACATTTTCACTCGTGTTTTCTATTTATATCTGCGATTAAGATGATCCATCCGTCATCTTTACCCGCTTCTTCATTTCTGGAGCGGGGGGTGGGGGTCACTGGTGCCCATATTCAGCAGTCACTGTACGAGAGGCGGGGGACACTCTGGACAGATCTCAAGTCCATCACAGGGACACATAGAGACACGAGACAAACGGCCATCCACTCTCTCACTCACACCTTGGGACAATTTAGAGATAGGCCTGTCACGATAACAAATTTTGCTGGGCGATTAATTGTCTCAGAAATTATTGTGATAAACGATAATATTGTTTTAAATTTGACAATAATTATTAATTATTGTCAAATTTAAGAAGAAATGTTGGTTATTTTGTGTGTAGTACCTTTTTTGACCACTGGGTGGCAGTATAAGACTGTTTGAACCGAAGGATGGACAGTGAGGGAACAAGAAGCGTGTCCCTTTACGAAAAATGGGAGGGAGGCCCCTTGACGTGACATGAGTTGTCGCTCGTTCCTGTTTTTTGGTTCTCAAAATGGCAGACACTCGGTGTGGTTTGAACTCTTTAGCATAGCATTTGTCACACAAAGCTTTTAATAAAATATCAGTGAACAAGTTCTCAGCTTCTTTTTGTGGAGAAAAACAACTTTTTAACGAAGACACAGGTTTCAACTATGAATTTAGGAGCTTCGACAAGACAGAGGTTTTTTCCCCGAGGTCGGCCTGTTAGCTTAGCTTCTCAGCTTAGCTGCTTTTAACGATCCAAAAACGCAATTTTGGACGGTTAAAACAGATTTTAAAGAGAAAGGGAGCGGTCAGTGAAGAGCACCGAAGTTGCTCCTTTTGTCATCCAGTGTCTTCAGTAGAAAGAGAGAGACACAAAGAAATGATAAAGCCGATAAATGAAAATGAGGTCGATAATTTTCATTTATCATGCGGTTTATTGTTTATCACGACAGGCCTATTTAGAGTTACCATTCAGCCTAACATGCATGTTTTTGGTCTGTAGAAGGAAACCATGCATGCATGGAGAGAACATGCAAACCACCCAGAAAGGCCCCCAGCCGGGATTTGAACCGGCAACCTGTTCACTGAGAGGCGGCCGCTCTACCAATTGCGCCACCGTGCCGCCTATGTAAAATGATAAAAACAATATTATATAAAGTAACATTGCACTAATATATCTGTAATCTACTGTAAATAATGTTATTTGTGTTCATACTTCGGTATCAATATAATTTGTATTTCTGTTTTCAAATTCATCACAATTTAAATTTTTTGTTTTGTCATATTG